TTGTTTTATCCACTCTACAATCTCTAGGCCCCTTTTTGGCTCCTGGATCCTCACTTCCCCCCGCATTTCTACTTCTGTCGTAACACTTCCTCTCCATCTCTCTCGTTCTCCAATCCCCACACATATAGCCTCCTGATTTCTCGGGGCAGTGGAGCAGCAATAAAAGCTAATTAAAAATAAATAATAAATTCTTTCTCTAGTGTCTATTGCTGCATTTATTTTACAGGCTTCTTTGTTATACCAGTGCTTCTCAAACTCTAATAAATAACCTGAGCATCTTGTTAAAATGCAGAATCTGAAGTCAGTAACTCTGGGTTGTGGTCCAAGAGTCTCCATTTCTAACAACATAGAAACTGATGCTTCTGGTCTTGGTTCACGGCCCATACTTTGATTAACAAGATTTTATAAAATTTGTAAGGTAAACGGCATCTGAGAATCAAACAATACACACTAAGTAATTAAATGGCAATTGCTTCAAAATGTGATGGGACTTGATAGAATTTGAAATTGTTCTTCTAAACACTAAATATAACAAGTTCTAGAAAGATTGAGTCTCAGTATATCTGTCATCTATCGCTACACAATAAAATTATTGGCTTAAAACAATACAAATATCTATTTTGATCATGAATCTGAAATTTGGACAGAGCTTTGTAGAGATAGCTTGTCTCTGTCTTACTCAGCATCAACTGGGATGCTCAGTTGGAGACTAGAGGAGCCTCTTTCAAAATGACTTACTCTGTGGCTGCCAAGTTGATGCTGGCTTTCAGCTGGAAGCTCAACCAGGGCTGTGATATAATCAGCTTGATTCCTCTCCATGAGGGCCCCTCTAGTTGCTGTTTAAGCTTTCTCATAGCATGGTGACTGAGTTCCATGAGCAAGTGTCTCAAGAAAACAAAATGGAAATAAGCATAGGCATTTTTATGTCCTGGACTCAAAAATCACAGAACATCACTTCTGTCATACTGTGTTAGTTGAGACAGTTACAAAGGCCTACCAGGTTCAAGAAGAGAGACATAAGACTCTAACTCATGATGATAGAGTGGCAAGTTTCAAGAAAAGCATGAGGAATGGGAGATATAATTGTGGTCATCTTTGGAAAATACAATCTGCTATACTCATAAACCTCAATATTTTTTAAACAAATGATAAATTAATTAAGATACAATGTTTTCTAATTATAGCCCATTCTCATTCCTATTTATATTATTACAGGAAAGAAGAAACAATATATATTAGATTGGAAGCAATTGAGGAGAAGGTAGAAAAATATAAGATCATATGATAGAGTAGAAAGAAAATAGGTAGAAAAGTAAAGAAAGAAGTGTAAAAAAGAAGAAGCAAGCACGCTGAAAAGTAGATGTAAATATGAAGACAAATATCATTTATTTACTTCCTTCCCTCCTCTTATTGTGCTACTGTAAAAGAATGGAGCAGGTACCAAACTGAGCAGGTTCCCAAACTGTTGGGAAGCCTCCTCTGTTGTTTGTTGCTGTTCCCTGGTAGAAAGGAAGCAAGATTGGACCCTAGTACTAGACAATAATAAATGAATTTAGCTATTCTTTTCTTTCGATAAAGTTTTACAATAGCAGAGTGAATTCAAAAATAAAACCCAGGAATCTCTCAGACAGTTCTCACCTATAGCAAAACCATAGGATCGTTGGAGAGGAATGGGAGCTGGGGTTGGGAAGAAGCAACTGTATTGCCTGGTCCACTTACTGCCTTTGCCAACTTACATTTACACTCTACAACTTAAGGTCTGATTTCAGTGAAAAATATACCTACGAGTTATTTTTTAGACTAGCTAGGTATCTATGCAATTTAAGATCATCGATCTTAATCTACAAGTAGAGAAATGCTAGTAATGGTAAAATATAGAAACAAAATGCTCCTCTGTTATACAGGGCCCTGCAAATTGCTCCCCACACTTCTTCATTTGGTCTCTACACTGTCCTGCTGAGTGTGAGTGCTAAGGAGATTTAAAGTGGTGTGAGAAAGTCATGTCGCAGTCAATGTTTGATGCTGAAGGCAAAGTTCCTGTGATGAAACCAAAGAATTGCTACAATGGAGCAGCATTTCAAAGACAAGAAGCATTTCAAAGACAAACTTCACGCCAATTCCCTTTCAAACAAAACCACTGAGTATGCCTATGTATCAGACACCCACCACCTCTTAACTCTAGCTCTAAACCTTCCACTTCAGGTTCAAAAGATAAAGACTTCTCTGATGAGGCACTACTGCCTGGTACATGAGAATGTACATGCTATTGAAATGGGTTCCTGGAAGGAAGATGAGAAAGATGCGTTCTTCTTTATCTCTGCCCAAGTATGTCTGTTCTATAGATGTCCTGGAGTTCCATTCCAGAAGGGAGATCTCAAAATCTTCAATGCCAATCATGAATAAGAGTTCCATTTGCCTAAAAGAGCAAAACTTATTCAGTATTGTGAATATGAATAAAATATGTCAGATTAGGAGGAGCAATTGTTGATTTCAGCTAAACTGATGTCCTGAAAGAAAGATCCACTTCACTCACCACTCACCTTCCTTTCCTCACACCAATCCCTTTCCATTTTCCATGGCAGTTGAGGAGTCTACTGGAGAGACAGCTAAGTCTAGACTGTGTTGACTGCTTAGATGTGTGATGTTGGGCCTGTCAGTTAATTTCTCTATCTGTTGCTTCTATGGAATTAGAATGAGAGTTTTAATCCCTCTTTATCTTCCTTTGAACCTTGTCAAAGAAAAGCATTACAAAAATGCTAAAGAAAATTCTGCCAGCAACATTTTTAGCTGCCCTGTGAGATAAACCATGTGATCTCAACATAGATAGTTTAGAAATATGGCCTTTCCTGATACATTCATGCATTATCAGGGTAGCATTATCATTAGACACAATGTCCTCAAAATCTTCAAATGTTAAAGAAAATAAACATGAGATACTCCAAGATGGAGCCATGATGCTGAGAGTAAGCAATTAATATTATGAACTCCAAAATATTTCTCTGCTTCATTCTACTCACACAATTTTTACATATTAGGCATGCCAACCCTTGACGGTGCATATTCTCTTGGTCGCCTAACCAAAGGGAAGAAGAGACTAGGGGTTCACATTCAAGAGGGGAGTTCCAGTCTTAGGTCATATTCAATATAGTTATGCCATATAACAATACATTTATGCCCTACAAATCATGGGCAATCTTTGATACAGCACCTAACCTCTCCATACCTCTATATTTGTTTGCTAGGGCTAACATAACAAAATACCACAGATTGGATGGCTTAAACAACATAAATTAATCTTCTACTGTTCTGGAAGCCAAAAGTTCGAGATCAACATGTCAGCAGATTTGGTTTGTCCTGAGGCCTCCCTTTTTGGCTTGTAAATGGCTTCCTTCTTGCTATGTCCCCACATAACTTTTTCTCTGTATGTATCTCCTTGGTATCTCTTTCTCTTCTTATAAGGATTCCAGTCAGATCAGATGGGGACACATTATAATGGCCTCATTTTACTTAATCACCTCTTTAAAGAGCTTATCTCCAAATGCAGTCACATTCTGAGGTTAAGCTTTCAATATATAAATAGGAGGGGTAATAATTCAACCCATAACAGCCTCTGTAAAATGGGCATCATGAGGCTTCATATAAGATGCAGATGAGAACATGAATAAGAAAATGCTTTATAAATTATGTCACCATAAAAATATTGTATCACTGATACCACCATTTTTGTCATTAAAATTATTATTCTCTATAACATATTGTCAGTCTCTTAAGAAATATAAATTTTCCACCTTTTGAAGAATTACTTCCTAGTGATTAAGAGAACATGCTCCAGAGTTAACATGTCTAGATCTGAATCTTGGCTGCACTACTTGTTAGCTGTGTGACCTTCAAAAATTATTTCAATCTCTCTAAGCCTCAATTTTCCCACTTATAAATTAGGGATGTAAAAATAGCACCTAACATTTAATATTGTTAAAATTATTAAAAGAGGGAAAGTATTAAAATGACCAACTAATAGTACATGCTCAATAAATGATGGTTGTTATTAATAGCAGTATTTAGACCTTGCTGCTGCTGCTGTTGCCTCTTTCTCAACCAGCAGAGGTCTCTATCATAGTCAAACTTAGACTGGCTTCGCCATGACAGTCTGCACTGCAGCTGCCAAGGACATCAACTGTTGTCAGAGAAAGTAGTGAAAGAATTACCATGCTGTCTGAAGGAAGGAGAAGAAATCAAAACAAGAGAACAGGGAATAGGATTCCATGGTGAAATATTATGTGAACAGATGACTGACCATGAATTAAGTTTGTCTAAGTTCTAGTGCTGCTTCAGAAACTGACTTTCACTGATATTGCCATTAACTGCACCTCATTTCAGCCAATTCTAAAGTTAAGCTAATAAAAATTACTCACAAAGATCTCAGAACAGCAGTAAGTATGATTTGGCAAATATTATTGTAAAGTTTTCTGAAAAAAAGAGTGCTGTTAAATTAACATTTAACATTTCTTACAGTATTAAGCTTATTTCATCTTTATCACCAGTTATACTCCACGCCTCAGTTTTGCTTCTACTGTAATATATTTTCTTTAACTTTCTTTTCCCACACAGGCTTACACCTCCAAGTTCAATTATTCTGTCAATTTTGTTTTAAATTGTACTTTCTATTAACCACTTGTGATATCAATTTGTTGATCTGTTCCTTCTGCT